GGGCTCTCCACAAGGCTGCTCCTGCACCCAGGGCTGCAGCATGTTAGGCCCATGTGGCTTCTGCTCAGAGATGCCTTGCAGGAAGTGAGCCTTGGAACCAAAAGCAGTTAACTGGCTAAGGCAATTTTACTCTGGAAGAACCTTCACAAAGTAAAAGACTTGAGAACTCGAAAAGCGAGGCTGTCCAAAGCATGTATCCCTCCGCCCTTCAATTAACCCCACCTGTGTTTATCGACCAGTTTGAGACAATGAGCCAACAACCTCTGTGAGCAAACCTGGTTGTGAAACACAGGAAGATACATAAAGCTTTATGAGGACACACAGGCACCTGCAGGATTCCAGGTTTCCCATAGCCTCATGAATATGTAAAACCGTAATGCTTGTTGCCCACAGAAAAAGGAAGTCCTGGGAGCACTCTTGAAATGACAAACATAACTCTAGGTGAGGCAATGCAGAAGGGCAGCCCAGGAACTGCAGGCTGCACTGTTTTCCTTCACATCCAAGCGAGTGCAGGAGGTAAGCATTGACCTCAGCGCAGTGAATCTGTTCGAGGCAGGCTAAGCACCAGGAGGATTCTCTCTTCCGTTATATTCGTGAATCTCCTGGAGGTAACTTTGGGGCTGAGATATGTGAGACCGCTGGAAGCAGCATTAAACTGATGCGAAAGCAATGCAGTGAACCTGGCCGGGGCAGAGCTGTGCCATTTGTGCAAGCTCTAGCATTCCCTGCCTTTTCTCACCAGCAAAGGTCAAAAGGCAGCTATCTAAAGGACCTGTCAATCCCACGTCTGGTGTAGGCACAGCAGACCTCAACATTCTTTCCGTCTATTTCCCCGACTTTCCTGAAGGAAGGATGAGGTCAGCAAGATCAACCCTGGTCTCGTTTACAAAGACACCCCCCCCACACACTCAACCGACTGACTGCTCATTTCCACTCCACTTCTAGCTCTGTCGTAAGTGCAATGCGCCAGCATCCTTCGGACACGTGAAACAAAAATGGTCTATTTTTATCCACCAGAGCTTCGGACCAGACAGCTCAGCGCCTTGTCCTAGCAGGAGAAACAAAACTTTGTCCTAGTGGGAAAAACAAATGACAATTTATCAGTGATCTTTTCGTTTTAATTTTTAGGTGAAACGGATGCCAGGGAAATTAGAGCAAGGCTTTCTACTACATTAAATAGTCACAGAAGCCCCAGGGGCAGTTTTACTCTGTCCTACAGGGTTGCTATGGGTTGGAATGGACTCAGTGGCAGTGAGTTTGGTTTATGTATTCTTTTGAGGAGTTCTGGTGGTTAAAGTGTTCAGCTGCTAAACAAAAGGTGGGCAGTTTGAACCCACCATGGCCTCTGGAAGAAATATGTGGTTGTCTGCTTCTTTATAAAGATTCATATAAGAGTTGAATGAGCCCCTAATAAAATGATTTAAAAGAATAAAGATTCATAACTGGCATGACAGGGGAAAATATTCATAACCTTGGCAACACTATAGGCCAGTTTTATTGGGTCTGATAGGATCATTAAGAGTCAGAATTGGCAGGTTTGTCTGGATAGGACAG